GAAGGAAGGAAGGAAGGAAGGAAGGAAGGAAGGAAGGAAGGAAGGAAGGAAGGAAGGAAGGAAGGAAGGAAGGAAGGAAGGAAGGAAGGAAGGAAAATAACTTCCATAAAAGCAAAGAGCTCAAAAAAATTTCTAAAAGGAATCAACATCTGTGTTTAGAGCTGTATCAAGCAAGAACACCTTTTAGATTCAGGAATGCCTTTGAGCAGATGTTAAATTGGGCTTAAAAGCAGACATTCATTTGGAAGAAAAATGCCATTTTAAGGAACACATCAACATATCAAGCTCTGGTTTTGTACAAGACATGCTGTTTGGGCAACTACTTCTATGAGTCCTTGGGAAAGAACTGGACTGGGTCTGGCTCCCATTGTGCTTTAACTATTTGCCCATCTGCAGGGAGATGTTCCCCTTTCCCTGCCTCCGGTTCCCTCATCTATAAGACAGAAGTGCAAGGGTTTGTCTCACCATGGGTCCTCTGGGTCCCCTGGAGCCTAGTAGACAGAATGACCTGGTGTAGGCATGAGTCCCTCTTGGTGGTGGCTCAGACACTTTTGTTTTGTTTTGTTTTGTTTTGTTTTTTGTTTTGTTTTGCATTGCCTTGTCTGTTTTGTTTTGTTTTGTTTTGTTTCCTCAGGGTGGCAGCAGGACTGGGTGCTCTAAGTTAGGTGATTTTAATTCGTTTGTTCTAGACAATTGTTTTTCATCTGCGTTGTGCAGAGAGGTAAACACCAGCACAAGCTCTGCACTCTTCCCCTGAACAGATAAAGTGCAAATACATCATTAGGCAACCAAAGTTCACTCTCATTTTTACCCCTTTACAAGCCAAACCTAATTCCTTATTATTTGTAATTGAATGGCTTTTATAGGGCCATATTGTGGGCAGGTCCTTGCTGTGCCTCATCTTTCCCAGGAACAGTGCAAGGAAGTTCCTGGCCTTGAAGAGCATGTCAGCAAGAAAAACAAACCTCAGGGCTAGGCAAAAGGATTGCCTCACTTCGCGGGTGGGTCTTGCACTTCTCAAGGCAACTCGAGCTCATTTTTGGAATAAATAGCATGCCTTTAGACCCAGAGGAAAGACAAGGAATGAGCAGAGAACAGCTCGTACAGTGCCGGCTACATGTTCCTGGAGATGCTGCATGTTTCCAAATGCGTCTCTCTTCGGTGCAGGGAAGTTTGGGAGGTGATTTGTACATCCAGGTTTCTCGGCTCTTCCTGCTGGCTCTTCTCTCCTCCCATCCTCAAGCCTCCCTCTCCACTTCACACTGGCTCACAGCCTAGGTGTGATCTTCCAAGGATGTGTCCAGTCCTGGAGCTGGAGAGCAGGAGCTACCGCAATCCCTTGCCAGCAACACGCTGAGCTCGGAGGAGCGTTCACTGACACACCAAGTCAAATCCCATGCAGGGCCGTGAGATAGATACAGGAAGGAGAGTGCTAAAAATGAAAATGTTGCTTTGCAAATTTTTAATTTCTTTGGGTATAACTGCAGCGGTGTGTCTCTACCTCAGCTACAGTCAAGAAAAAAAAAATGGGAACAGCCCCAAGGGCTCAAAGAAACGAGCACTATGTGTACGAAGTTTAGGGGTTTTGGCAACGATCTCGATGGAGCAATCAGTGTTGAGCGCGGCTGAAGGGACCGTCGCCACCTTGGGGGATTTCAGGTCCTGTCAGTTCAACCACATTCCCCAAACTCCCCAGTCTCACCGGAGAGCTCTCCTTTCTTCCTTCTCGGTCAACGCGGGCACTTCTGTCCCCCTCCAAGCCCTAAGGGAAGCGTCAGGTTCAAGTTACCTGCCCCCAAATCCGGAGCCGGCCCAGGCGGAGCAGCCAGAGGCACCTCCCTCCAGTGCGTCCCAGAGCCGGATTGGAATAGCCAGGTGCGAGCGGCGGCCTCCCTCCCGGGCGCGCTTGATAACTCAGCCGGCACTCGCTCCTGCTGCGGGGCTGCTCCCCACAGCCCTTCCCATCCCCGCTGTCATGCCGACCCCGCGCCTCGTCGCCCTGGGGCTGCTCCTGGTGCTGGAATCTGCCTCCTGTCAGGAAGGTGAGCCCATTGCTCCAGGGAAACGGAGGCTCGGGGCGAGCGGAGGCTGCGTGCGGCAAGCCCAGCGCGTGCACTGTGGCTCTGGGCACTGGGGGGACCCCAAAAGAGCTGTCCGCAGAGGGGAACCGTGAGATTACCATGCTTGGAGCTTTGACTTCATGTACGTGGGGGCAGAAGGGAGGTTCGGTGCTACAAAACCTCCCCCGAGATGAAGCACGGGCAGTTTTCCTCTTATTCAGTTCGGTGTTGAAACTCAGGGCAGAGATTTATCTCACCTGGTTACACAGAGGTAAAAACAGCTCTGATTTATCTCCGCACTGTGATGAGTAATTTGTTTTCTTAAGGTTTGCTTTTTCTCTCTCTCTCTCCTCCCGCTCTTCCCCAGAAGAGCCCTGTGCTCGGCTGCTTTCCCTGCTCACTGATAACTCGTATATTCTCCTGTTAATCTTTAATGCCAATCGCTGCTGAGGTGGCAGGGCAAAATATTTCCTTCTGCACACTGAGCTTCCACTGCCTTCCTGAAGACTTGATAGAGACATTTCCTAGCACTGTCACAGTAGTTTTATGCCATTTGTGGAAAAAAAAGGGGGGGAAACATGAAAGAGTATAACCAGGAGTAATTAAAACTAATCTGATCCTGCCAAAGTCCTGGAAAACTCCCTCCCCCTTTCTCCTCCTGATGCCCCAACCTTGACTGCTCTTCCTGCATTTGTTTACCAAATTGCTAAGGATTTAACAGTGTGGGGTCTCCACTGTCAGCAGGATTAAAAGGTTTGCTGTTGCCTTGAAGGGGGAAAAAAAAAGGCTGCAGCAAGAGTTTAGAGCCTGCAATGACTTTCTCGGACGTGACAGAGCACAGGGAAGGGCCGGTTTTCCGAGCACTAGAGAAAGATGCATCTAGGCACATGTATGTGTATTTAAACAAGCCTGGAGTATGAAAGAGTCACAGCGGGGGCAAGAGCTAATATTGACATTTTCCTTGGTTGTGTTCATGCCTGCAGATCCACGGGCACTGATGCATGGTCAGCACAGGGGTGCACCCAAATTGCTTAGTTTGTCCAAGAAAAAACCTTAGAGGTGGGAAGTGGGTTGCTTGGGGCACGTCTTGGTGGCAAGGAGATGAAGCTGGAATTTGGAGCAGGATGTCTTCAGCTCCTGAGGTACAGAGAAAATGTTCAGGCAAAGCTTTCCCAGGCTGGGCCAGGCTGCCCAGGGCACGTGCAGCTTGTGGGGACACTGCTGCCCTCGGCTTGAAGGCTCATGGAAATAGCTGCTGGAGTGAGACTTCACTGGAGGAAAAGCACCTGGTGCCTCCCAAGACTTGCTGCCTGGAAGTCTCCTACCCATTTACCTCTTGTGCTGAGCAACCGGGAGATGAAAGTTTTGAGATTTTGTTCCCCCCAGTACAAGCTTATCCAGCTTAGTCTTGAACTCCCTTAACCTCAGCAACAGCCTCACCAAGGGCTGGGTCTGCGCTTCACTTCTGAGGCTCGTGTGGAAAACCCTGTCTCCAGCAGGAAGGATTAAGTACAAATAATAAATAAATCTGGCAGCCAAGGACAGGGTGAAGGAGGAAGTGGCGCTGGCCACAGCCAAGGGTGGATTTTGTGGGTGTCTCTGGGGCTGCACCCATGCACAGGACCTGCTCCACCACCGTGGACGCCCCAGGGCAGTGCCAAGCCGTATTCCTGCATCCAGCTCATCCCCTTCTTGCTGGCAACACTAGCTGCTGATGCAGGAGGTTTGCAGTTGGAGCACACTGAGACAAGAGGGAATTTCCGTCTGCATTCCTCTGAGTGAGTTTGGCCCCGGGACTCCTCAGTAAACACATTTAAGTGCTTCTGCTGTTTTGATCCAAATTCTCAGTTTGTTAAATTGAGTAGTGTTCCACCTCCACAAGGAAAATATTTTTTTGCTGCTTTTGTTTTTCTAAAAGCCAAAGTCCTCTTGCAATGATGTGACCCCAAAATCGGGGACTCCTAAAAGGCAGCCATCCAACGGTGATGGCACAGCTGTCAGCAGCGGACCCAGTGTGTAGCTGAGTGTGGATATCTAGCCTGCAATTAGAGTTTGCTTAGCTGGCCTTTATTGCCTCCACTAAAGATCATTTGCAGTTTATGGCAGAGATATGTCTGCTGCAAGCGCCCAGCTGCTGCACACCTCCAACCCCAGAAGGAAGCCGCGGGGCAGCGGTACTTGACAAAGCGGAGGACACCGGTGACACCGTTCAGCTCTGCTGCCCATGGCTGTCCCCGTGCTCTGCACCTCTGCAAGGGCTCCCAGCACGCGAGCTGGCAGCTGGCATGGAGTGGGATCTCGCACAGGCTGAGGTCTGATGCTCGCTGGCAGGGAGCTCTCCACCTTCCCCTCTGCCCTTCCCAAACTGGGCTGAAGGTGGGAGGTTTGATTTATGCAGAGAAGTTTATTTTTAATCAACAGAAATGAGAAAAACCTTGCCTGAACAAAGCGATAACCAAGTCCTAAAAGGATGCAACTAAACATTCTTTACCTTTCTCAAGTTCCCCTTTCAACACTTAAAGACGGGTGCAGGTGTATTTAAGTATGACGGTCCATGAGAAGTGTTAAACCAGCAGTTCAAGCAAAGGACTGGATACCTGCAAAGGACCAACATTTTCCTTCTCTCTTGGTGTTGGCCTTGAGTTTCTTCTGCATCCTGGAGCACATCTAACAGCCCTCCTGCACCTCTGTGAGTGTTCATGGGACTAGACCATGGCTTGGGCATGGTTAACAGAAGAGCAAAACTCTTTTTTCCAAATATTTTTGTAGACAGACTTCTTGAACCAAGCCAGGCAAGTGATTGTATGCTAGCAGTGCCAGTGGATGATGAAGTCCTGTCTGGTCAGGGTTTTGCTTCCTCCTGTTTTTTCTCTAGAAAGCTTCATGGCCCAAACAACAAGCCAGGCAAAGGCAGTGCTGCCCCCTGTGATGGACTGTGGTCAGCTAGGGACCAAAAGGCAACACAGCGGTTTCACCAGCAAGGTTGTTTTGCAGGTCCCTGCCCCTCAGCCCTGGCTATCTCGTGGCTAAATAAAAAACAAACAAACAAACAAAACCAAATTGTATACTGTCACCATTTCAGGGTCCTTGTTTGACCAGGCAGTATTTGGAAAATAACAAGGAACATTGTCTGTGGGACCTTGGTATCCAGAATAAACAGTTGGTTGAAATCCCTCTTCCTTCTTCCCCCCAGCATTTTAGACAAATACTATCATTTTAGCAGGTCCATAGCTTCATCTATTAGCAATTCTGGTGTTTGTTCTATTTAACCTTTTCTCCTCCTTTGCATTTATTCACAGGTGTTTAAGAACTGGCCTTTAGATTTGCTACCTCTACACATAGCAGTGTTTGTGCTTAGGCTCACATTGTAAGGACAGTCAAGGTCTGCCATGCTCTTCCTGGGAGCACACACAAAAATGTCTGTGCTCTTTGTGACACTTCCCCCTCAATCTCTGATTTCTTCTGTTCCCGGTCAAGGATTTTCCTTCAGTTTCCCCTTGCCGGTGCTGCTTTCTTAGCTCAAGGGCTGTGCTGATTTAGCAGCATCATGCTCTGCTTGGCTTTGCAGGGCTGAACTCTTGACTGGACACCACTGAGGCTGGTATGAGGACGCTAAGGTGACCTAGTAAAGTACAAGGATGTGCTTTTAATATGTGTTGCCCTTTCCTTCTGCAGCCCGGGGTGGCCTCCAGCCGTGGTTGCAAGGCATCATCGCAGTGGTTGTGTTCCTAGTCCTGGTGGCCATTGCTTTCATGGTCAATAAGCTCTGGTGCAAGGAGAAAGAGTAAGTGCTGGGAGTCCCAGGCACCCAGGGGTTACTTTGGGCTTGGCTTAGCACTTGCTGTCCCAATGTGTCTGCACGGGTCACTTCTAATTGCCCCTTAGATCTGTGCCAGTGCTGGGAACATAGCGACCATTGCACACAGTGAACCAGAAACAGATGGGATAGACTGCCCGTCCCGCACTCCGGTCATAGCTGCCTCTTGTAGTCAAGATTCTTCTTGGGTCTAACATGAAGAAAACAAAAGAATGACCACCAGAAAGAAGTATTTGCCTGAGCATGATTTGCTAAAGATTTGAAACTGGTGGACTGAATCTTGAACTGAATTTTACTACATCTGAATCATGAGCTGATTCTCTATGAGCCATCAGAGGAGAGTAAAACTCTTCCTGAGAAGTGGGTGCTTTCATGGCTTGTTGATGACAGCTCCCTTGGTCTTATTCCCAGTGCATCTGCCATGTGTTTACAGTGTGCAAATTGAACTCATGCAGAGAACCGAAGCGGGAATTCATGAGCCAGGCAGCTCCCTGTGTGGAGCCTGGGGCACAGGGAAGCTAAATGGACGGATCTGAGCCCATTGGAGAAGGCTGGGCATGGACAGTCATGCTTGGTTTACTGCAAGCTAAATGGGCACACAGGCTGCTGCTCATCCCTGCTGACCCATGACTACTTGCTAAGCTGCAATAACCTGATCTTGAATCTGAGCCCAAAGCCGAAGGAGAGGCAGAAGAGGGACTACAGCCTTGTTCCCAGTCACTGTCCCAGTACAGGCACTTTGGGCCTTGCACCAGTGAGAGGTTTCTTATATCCATGCAGCTGTGCAACCTCTGCAGGTGTGAGGAGAAAGATCTAGTAGGGCCTAGATATATCACTGTACCCACTTCATCTTCCACACATTCGGCTCCAGTGCAAGCAAATATATACGTATACATGTATTTGCTTATATATCTATATGCTTATATATACATATGCATATATATTTGTGTGAGTATGTATACATATTCTGATTTTTAACTGGTTTTAGTGTCTCTGGAGGCATTCTGCAAAGGCTGGCCTGAGCTAAAATGCAGTCTTTGTTTGCCAAAGAAATACCATTGTCCCTAAGTTGAGTCAAAGGATGTTTTATCCCACAGAACACACATCAGAGGTGGTGTCTCCCATTCCTGCCCTTGCTTGCCCATGCTGGGCTGCCTCTGCCCAGGAGCCCAGAGGTGTCCCTGGCTCCAGCATCAGGGCTCGGCTGTGCCAGCAAGGCTGGCGAGGAGGCCGGGGGGGATGGCAGCTTGTTTTAATTAATCTGGCCTGTCTTCAGAAGAGATGCTTGCAAAGCTCAGCAGCCTGGCATGCTGCCAGCTCGGCACTGTCACTTTGACAGCAGTTATCAGCTTAAGTCACTGCCTGTTTATGCCATTCTGCTCCTTGAAAACGTCTCAGAAATTGCCCTTTAGCGAGTGCTGAAGGAAGCAGCAATGTGCATATGCAGTGGAACCGAGTCCACCCACCACCACCAAGCACTTCTGCACCTCTGGGGCCATTCAGTCCATGGGCTTGTTCCCGTCTGTGCTTCTTGGCTCCAGCTAAGGCTGTTCCTGCCTCGCAGTTCCTTCTAAAAAGGATTCAGACCTAGATCCAAGCGGAAACCCTTGAGCTGAGCCTGTGCGGATGTACCCGCACACAGACACACCCTTTGGGACGGCACGGAAGAGTCTCTGCACCGTGTGTCAGGGACTGTAGGTGATTGTTTTGCAATGGGCCACAGTGAAGAAAGCTGGAAAAACCTGTTAGCAGGAGAGAACAATCCCAAGTATTGATAAATGAGTCTGACTGAGAGTCGCAGCACTGTCACCAGTCCAGACTGGTGCTGGGAGTGCCAGCAGCAGGCACACAACTGGGTTAAGATGGACCTGGAAGAGCCCAGTCCAGAATCTTGGGACTCCATGTTTAGCTGGAGGTGCCTCTGACTCACAAGGTCGCTGGTATCTAGGAAGTTTTCCCTCCCTGGTGTTAGCAGGAGCCCCCGCTGCTCTTCCCTTGCCCACACCTGCAAGGTTTTCCATTGTTCTGCCTCAGTTCCTACCAACATGCTCTTTCTTCTCCCCTTCCAGGGAGAATGTTGAGGCGGTGGTGAGCATCGGAGAGAAGCATGAAACTGTCCTCTCCAATGGCCGCGAAGGGAGATACGTAACCGCAGCAGACTTCAGGTGAAAGCCTTGCTCAGGACTTCCTCCTGGCTCTGGCTCTGCTCTGGGCATGCAGAGGCACAGCTTGCCTCCCACTCTGGCTCTCACAGACCCCATGTACCTGGTTATTCTGCCCAATATCCATCACAGGGGCAAAGGACTGGGTAGTGAGGAATCATCCAGGCCTCCCTTTTCTCTGCTTTTCCCTGCAGCCAAGCCCCATAGTCCACCTACCACCTTGTAACCTGCTACACCCTGCTTTTTGGTAATGCTGCATCATTCCTTTGAACAGGGGAGGTCAGAGCCTCCAGACCCCTAGGTCTCCAGACCTCCAGCCCCAGGTCACCGTTCAGATGCTGGGTGTCAAAACAGTCTTCTCTATATTAGAAGATTACACAGGCACAGGAGAAATATTATTATTATCTCTATAAATTAATCTGCACTAGGTGCTCTGGAATTCTGTTGTCTCACTCAGAGAGGGATCCCTACCTCCAACTCAGCTTTTTCCCTTTGCAGGTAAATAGTCTGTGAATGAAAAACCTTTAAGATCCTGTGGTGGCCTCCATGCTTGTAACTTCTTACTCTGGTACTGCTGCAAACGTAAAGTCGATCAGTACGTCTGACACGTACGTGGTCTTACAGTGGGACTTGGTGGTCTTGAAGGTCTTTTCCAACCATAATGATCCTATGATTATATGGTCAGGGGCCTCTGCAATATCATGGAGGAAGCTGTTTTTGCCAGAGTCCAGTCTCACTCTGGAGTGAGCTAACTGTCTGTGCCTTCCTCTCCCATTCCAGATCCAACGAAAGCGAGTATACCTACGAGAACATCGTGGAGCCTGAGGAGAAGGTGGTCACCACTGCAATGTAGCACATACCCTGGTGATCAGTCCTTGTTCTTCCTCTCCACCCCCCACCTTGCTTCCCTCTGTCATGAGGGACATTTTCACAGGGACCCTCTGCACTGACTTCCCCCATACATGACTGATACATCAAACTCTGCACGTCCGTCATTTTTTGATCTTCTCCCTTTCCATGTCCCATGTGTGGGGTGGCTCATGATATTCTGCATCTCATCAAGGCTTCTCAGAAGCTGGTATCCATGCAGGGATCTGTCTCCAGGAGAGTGAGCTCCTGCTGTGGGATCACCAGACCCCGTAACTAAGACTGATCTTTCCTGATCACAGACGTGGCCATGGGCCTGAAGCCAAGCATGAGAGTCTCATATTGGCTGTATGGTCCTGTGCCAGCCCTGAAGGCATTTGAGCGGGTCCTATCTGGCTTAACCTAGAGAAAGGAAGGGGAAAGGCCTCCAAGAAAGCAGCCAAAGCATTGGCACCAATGCAAAGAGAGGTCAGGAGAAACCCACCATCCTCCCCACCAGTCCAGGCACAGGAGAGTCTGGTCCTGAGTCATGAATGCCCCTGCTCAACAACATGCCCAGCAGCCCTAGGGCTAGTTGTCCCTTCACTGACACGTTGATGCTGTCACCTCTCATTACTAGCTCTGCAGGGACCTGGCTGCTCGGGCTATGGGGCTAAATAGGGTAGAGGGCTCCTTCCACTCTTGCCTGCCCCTAGTCCTCCTGGAACTGCCAAGTGAAACCTGCAATCTTCTTGGTGTTTCACCTTCATTTGGACAACCAAAGGTCCTGAACTGGATAATTTAATTTCAGAACAAATCTCTTCCTCTGTATATATTGTTCCTATGAGCAATAAAGTGAGTTGTCCTTCAATACAACAGCAGCATGACCACAAAGAGGATCATTTTTGCTAATCATGCAGAAGATTTAGTGGCATCCATCAGCACTTCCAGCTGGCAGATGCCTGCAAGCAGGGTGAGCTGGTGCGGCCATCTCTGGAGGAGGGAGGCTGTGGGATGGAAAGGGTGTTCGGGGGCCAGGAGTCATCCATCCCTGCACTCCCCTGGTCTGAGCCTCCCTCCTCTCCTGTCCTCATGGACCTCGCTTGGTGGGATCCATCCCTTATTCCCTAGCTCAGCCTGCTGAGTGTCTAGGGTGTCTAGGAACTGACTGGGGAGAGGAAGAGGAGAAAGCTTATTTTGCTCTGCACCTTGTTGCTTTGCAATGGTAAGAGGCCAGTGCCTTCTTTGCTAGGGGTTGAAGGAGAGACAAGATGACTCCGCCAGCCCTTTTCCCATTGTTTTAACCTACAGTAGAAGGAGAAAATAGGGACTGTGCCATTTCCCTCTGGTCATCTGCAGGGGACTGGGAATGATTGAAGGGGCAGCACCCCAGCTGCTTCCCAGGCGCAGGCTCTGCTTCTGGCCTGGGAATGAAGCTCACTGCATGTCACATCTAGCTGCAGGGATGAGCTGTGTCTGCTCCTGCCCCAGCCTTGCCCATAGCCTGAAAGGGCCTTTGGGTGCAGGTGAACCTCATCACTCTCTCTTTGCCGTGGGGAAAACTGAGGCACGGCACTGATTCAGCACTTCCCTGAGGATGCTCCATGAGCAACGATGCTTGAACAATATGTTCCCCTGAGCCCAGGTCTGGAGCAAGCGGGGCACCTTGTGCAGGGCTGGAGGCCACGTGGAAGGCGTCTGCTTCACTGATGTTGCCAGGAAGTGGTGCCGGCTCCGCTCCAGGCGGTGCCACCAGCTGCTGGTGTGAGCTGTTCCCCCTGGGCTGTTCATTAACCAACTGCCCGTGCAAGGGTCTGGTTTTACTGAAGCAGAGATGGCACCGGAAAATGGATCAGGACAACTCGCATGGCTGCGGGCTGATAGCACCCGCCTGGGAAACCATCCCTGGGAGTAACGTGTGGCATCCAGAGACTGAAACTCCTTGATAAGGTGGTGGGGAGGATGCTGAACCCCTGTGGCATCTCTATTGCTGTCACCCCTGTCCATTGCTGAGCATTACCTTGAGGGTAAGGAGAGGTGTTTGACCAGCTGTGAAATGCCGCTTTGGGTGGACTGAGATCTGCACAGTCAGAAAGTGTGGGGACCCCGGCCTCTCTTCAGAGAGCCTCTTTGGAGGCAGGTTTTGTAGATGCAGCAGGAGCAGGGCTGCTGGGGGAACACACAGGGATATTTGAGATATCACTTTGCTCTTCACCAGCACAGTCCTGCTCTGAGACATCTCTGCTCTGCAAATTCCACCCTTGAATGGGCCTTTCTGCTGATGGGGCTTTTCCCTCCGCATCTGCTCATAGCCAAAAAGCCCCGACCCTCTGAGAGAGGAGGTGTTTCTCCAAGCAGGCAGATGCAGCGGGTCTCCTCCCAGATGAATGCCTGTAAAACACCCTGGAGCTTTCTGATATGCAAAACTGCCAGCTATTCCCCAAAGGCTACAGCTAAGGCATGATGATGGTCCTGACCTGACGGAGAGCCCAGCCAAAGGCAGCTGCTCTTGGCCACGGAGAGCCCTCCAGCAACAGAGTGGGAGAGGGGAGAACGGTGCTGGAAGTGGTGGATATAGGTTGGACTGTGGTGTCCCCAAATGATGTGAGCTGCTGTCTCCTTGCCCGTGATAGTCCCTGGCTTACAGGGGTTATTATGGGAAAATGCAGGTATGCAGGACATAACTGTTTTGGAAATAGGCCTGCCCTAAAAACTGCTGCGTTGAACAGCCTCATGCAGGCAAATGTATAGAAAATGTCCTAGAGCCTCCACACTTAGAAATCACCATTTTAGCTGGGAAATCTCCTAGGGGGAAACTGACAGGAGGTTTGGAGGGATGAAATCCTTCCTGAGGTGACATGAGTCAGTGTTAGGCTTGGGAGGGGCCCCATCCTCATCATCGCTGTGCGTTGAAGCCATTTTCTTTAACCAATATTCCTCTGGCAGCTAGGGGCTGATCCAGCCTGAGACCATCTTCTGGGAATTTGGGGTCTGTCAGGACCAGATCTCATTTCCCCAGCAGTAGGGAAGCATTTTCTTTCCCTGACCAATAACATGTTCTTCTCACTCACCCTCCATAATGGGTGTCTTTCCACTGATTCTGGGTGCAAAGTAGCATGTGCATTCAGAAAAACAAGCTCCCCGGAGCTGGCTGGTAATGATTTGCTCAGCAGAACTGAAGGGGGATTAGCCATTGAGCATTCCCACTGTGTCAGCACTCTGGCTCCCGCCTGGGCGTGTGGTGAGAGGATTGGAACCTATTAATTTTTACCTCTCAGTTGCAAAATAAGTTATAAACAACACCCTTCTCATGAGCAAGAGTGCCAGGTTATCCCCCGTCATGTGCATGGCCTGGACGTGAGGCAAGCACAGAGGTTTATTGCAGGAGCAGGGAAGAGCTGAGCTGATGTTCTGGAGGGGTTTGGCCATGGGAGCTACAACTGGTGGCACAGGGGGGTGTTGTGTGCTCAGCTGGGAGAAAATCCGAAGTGCAAAGGGATCCTTTCCCTGGAGGAAGCCAAGGAATGCAGGGACACTGCTGCATGGTGGAAATCAGGCTGTCATTAGTCCTCCCAGTGCTGTGGGTCCAAGGAATTGGAGGGAAGGAACCTGCTTGCTGTCTGCTTTGGAATAACCCCAGGAGCATCAGTGCTTGATCCTGGTCAGAGTCCAGTCACTGTTTCAGTCTATTAAGAGTCCACTTTTCCAGGAAAGCCTCTTTGGCAAGAGTCATTTTATGTGGTTCATATCATCTCCCAGCTGCAGCCTCCCTTCCATGCTGTCAGGTATTCCGTCCTGCCTCAGTTTCCCCAGTCTGTGGAGCAGGGCCAGGAGTGTTTGTGCAAGAAAAGGCTCCTCTGCTGAAGAGCAGTGGGAAGCGCGCGCAGTGCTGAGCAGCCAGCTCGCGGACGTTCTTGGTGTGATCCTAAAACGAACAAAAGAGAGCAAGTATAAATGAAATTTATTGTTGGGAAATCTTAATTAGATTTTAAGCCCCAAAGGGAGAAAAGTGAAGTATTATCTGACACAGCTAATGAGTGTTAAGGGTCCATTGTTATATTTCTTGTTTACCTTTCTGTGCTGGCTGATACGGCCTGGATTCTCGCCTCTATTGCCATAATTAGGATATCTCATCTCTTGCTGATAGGGTCGGGGATGCTGTTTAAAGCACAATGCTGTTTCATCCCTCCCTGACAAGAGGAGCGTGATTGGGAAGACAACTTCTCCTGGTGTCCAGGCACTCATGCCAGCGGTATTGACCTTGTGAACTGGGGACACCTTTTTGAGAGGCTAGTGGGTACCTGATAACATCCAGGTGATGGACATCTCTGGCAGTCTGGATGACCTCTCTGATGAGCCCCCATCTATTAAAAGGTAATCGAGTGGCAGTTAATGGTCTAAGCACAGGTTCTTTGGACATTGTAAGGCAAAGGTGGTCGTTTTGAAAAGACTATTGCTGAGCAAGCATGCCAAGGGGAACTGTCCAAACATGGCCAGACCATTGACCAGTGATGTTCTTGAAGGAACTATGCTGTCCCATAAAACATGATTCAAGGGATTCAGCAAGCAGGTCTCTCTTCTCCTCACCTCTTAAGGAGCCACCTAAGGAGGGCTCCTACTCAAGCATTGAATATTGGACTGAACATTAGGACAGCTCTGGCTCTGCTTTCCCAGGATGGGCACACAAATTTGCATTAGCTGCATTCACCAGCCTTCTCTCCTGACCTCAGCCTTGGGAAGCCATGGAGCCACGAACCGACTTTTATCTCTTTAGCTCATTCTTTACAGGGACAACAACTTTCTGCTGTGTAGCTAGAGGATACCACTTGGCCCTTCAGTCTCTGGACAGCAGAGTACCTTGCAGAAAGGCATGATTGTCTTGACTCTTCTCTGAGCTCCTGATTTCTCAGTGTCAGATCACATATGCAATGAGATATTACCGCTCCTTGAGATCAGATGCAACTGTATCTAGCATCCAGGCATGTATTTTGTGCAGAGAGAAGGGGGTGTTCCCAAGCAGCAGTTTTAGGTTAGCATGTGATCATTTCCATGGGGCTGGCAAAAGGCATAGTCACTTAAGGACTCTTTCTTCTGATCCTGGCGTGTCATCATGTGTGCTGTGCACTAGAGAGCATACACCTCTGCATGAACATTGCACCCTGCCAGTGGAGATCATCTCCTCCTTCAGCCCCATTCAGTGGCCATCTGTTTTGGTGTTGCACCCCCACATCACACACATGAACACTGCAGGGAGAGCTGAGATGGAGCAAGCAGGAAACGGGTTAGAAAGGGGTTAGAAAGACTCTTTGGCTGTGGACACTTAGGATGCTTCTGCTCCAGCTATGTTTTCCTGGAGCACTCATGCAAAGCCTAACCCTTTCTTTGGACGACCAGGCACACTCCAATGCTGACAACAGCTTTAAGGCATCAACAAAGAAGTTAGCCCTGCACAGCACAGAGGACAAGTAAATTATCAAAAAGTACTTTAACTAAAAGCCTGCTGTAAGCAACTGCTCTGACCTAGAGAAGCCAAGGCTTGGAGTCCATGTCCTTTCAGTGAGCCATGAGGAGCCCATGCAGGGATCCTAGGAAGATCCAAGGAAGTGTGGAGGGAGCCAGGCATAGCATGGAATGGGAATTGCAGAGGGAGAAGAGCAGACAGTAGGTGAGGGCAAGGAGTGATGCTACCAGGGCAGGGATGATGCTACGAGTTGGTGCTCCTGTGGGAAGGGGCAAGGAGCCCGGCCTCAGCAGAGCCAGCCCAGGTGGGAGCACATGGGGGAACGTGTAAGGTGGCCGGGAAGTTTTTGGTCTAGATTCAAGCCCCTGAAAGCCAGGAGTAAAATACCATCCATTGTTGGTTTATACACCCGTAGTAGCCAAACAAACATCCCCGGAGCCTGTCCTTATCACTTTATTACACCTGCTAGAATGAATAGATTAAAGAGGCCGGGGGAGGGGGGAGAAAGCAGAAGAATCCAGCAGAAAAACTGGGTTTTGGGATTGTTAATTATTCTCTGGGGTCTCTAATCTTTAACTGGCAAACAGCATCACTAACTGTCTTAAAGCCCCTCCTGGAACATCCTGATAATAAGCCATCTGCATGAAGGCACCCCGTTATCTGCCCTCCTCCAGCCGTCTGTGACATGGCTGGAGTGGGAGATAATGAATGTGCAGCGTGTAATAACGACACGTCATTCATGATTATCGGGCTGATACCTAACCTTTTAGCTTCATTGTTTGTGCTAAAAAAAAAAAAAAAAAAGAGAGAGAGAGAGAAAAAAATGAGAAAAAAGGAGGAAAAGGGAAAAGAAATAAAAGGAGGAGGAGGGAAAGAAAGAAAGGAAGAAAGGGGAATTTTTGGTGTTACAAGCTGGGCTTGGTGTCTCTGAGGCGTCTCCCTGCCAAAGGGGCTGGCTCTGAGGTGGCTGGTGGCCCCGTAAGAAATGGCCCGTTGATTGGCAGCTGCCGTAGCCATGGTGACGGAGGGAGAAAGAGCCAAAATGTCACCGCGTGGCACAGGGACACTTGGGGCAAATGTGGGGCGATGAGATCGCTGTCACGGTGCCCCGCCGGGCTCCTCGCGCTGTTCATGCCTCCCTGGGAGCCGTTTAACGTTGGCTCCGCAGAGCAGGGTTTATCTTGTGTCGCCTTAACAGGCTGCCGGCCAGAAACTCCCAGCATTTAAAGGTGGGAGGGGTGTTCAGGTGGCCTGGTTTCGTCTGGATAAGATGAAAAGTAGAAGAATTTTCTCTTGGTTTTTATTGCACTGGGCCCACTTCTGAGCCTGGGGATTAGTGATATGTGGGCAGTGGTAGATCTTCCACCAAAATCCTTGGACCTCATGCAGACATTTCAAACCTGGTTTCCTGGTAGTTCTGTCCACATGGGAAGAGACTTTTAAAAAGTGTTTGCTTCAAGTTATTTTGATTATTGTCAGAACTACCTGGAAATAAAATCCATTTTTTTATCAAATATTACTAGGCTTACTTCTGTTTCCTGAGCAGATTTCGCTTCATCATTTCTCCAGGAAAGGCCTTAGATCACAATCATCAAGGTCTGGCCACTCATAAGAATCAGACAGACTGCTGAGAACCAAACAAGCAGCCTTATCTACAGTAATTGATGATTAATGCGGTGACCCTAATAAGCAGCTCCTTGCTGCTGAAGATCTCAAGGCACCTTGCAAAGCTGGGCTTGGAGGGAGAACAGGGCACGAGAAGGCCTCAAGGTGAGAGGTGCAGATCAGAGGTGCTGTCTCCCTGTGTCCCTTCTGCTTTAACTGCTTCCTTCCTGCTTGTACTTGGACTGAAAGTCCTGTGGAGATCAGTTTTCAGTTGCATTTCTCAATCTCCTGTGTTCTCAGCCCTCTCTCCTCCAGGTTTTCCCCATCCCTGACAAAAGCCTGATTGGGTAGGCCGCAGAGGGTGGTATGACCCGTTGTGCAGACACTGCTTGGATTTGCAAGTTGGGCTGCATGAGGTCTTTCCGGGCAAAGGACTTGGACTGCAGGCTGGATGGTGGGTTGTCAAGACATACAAGGTGTCTGTCTTGCTCCTTGCCTGGTGATTTAGCCCTGATACATGATGAAAACGGCAGAGCAGAATTAAAGCTCATTGTTCCCATGAGAACAACACATGCCTGCAAGTAGCACACCAGCTCCAGCGATTAGACCTGCGGCTGCAAGGATGGTGCATTTCTCCTTTCAAAGTAGCTACTGGTAATACATATTAAGGCCTCCCCTAAGCACCTGGGATGATTTAACCTTTCTTTTCTCTTCCAATCAGTCCCATGCCCAGTGCAAGAAGAGCTTTCTGCTGCCTGTGTTCAGTGGGATAGGTAGGGCCGTGCTGAGGAGAGCTCAGCACAGCAGGCTCCCAAAGCAGCCTGCTCTCTAGTCATGCTGACAGTTGTGTGTCCAGCTGTGCCTCGATATTTCCTTCTTGTTCTGAAGACATGCCAACCTTCCTATCGACGTTAATGAAGACAAGGCAGTGTCTGGGAGATTTACCGGTATGGCTCTGTCTAATAATGCTGGGCAATGCTATTGCTAGCCTCACCTATGGCGAGGTCTAGACTAGTAGCCTCCTTCTATCCTTATTCTCTCACTGTGGTGTTTTAGGTATGTGTGCAGACCTCAGTGCCTTGGTGTCCCTGTATATGCTGAATACCTTGGTACCTGCAGTGGCAACCTGAAAACTGGTGCTTCAGCCTTGCAGTGTGTAGTGGGACTGCAACAGGAACTGCACAGCAGCTCTTCTATGCTTCTTATACAGCTGAGGACAGAGATGTTGACTCATTGCTGCCCTACTGCTCTGCTGAGGGGTGCTACAGCCAGCTGGCAGGTGGACATAAGGTGTGGGGTGAGATTATGTGGTCTCCAACAGAACTGGGGTGGCAGCAGGATGTGTGCTTGGACCCAGGGTGTCAGATAGCTCCAGTATCCTGGATCCAAGGCACAGCTTGAGTCTTTGCAGTGCATAAGATGTAGTCCAGGAGGATGCAGACTGTTCTGTGCATGGCACCCTCTGGCCTGTCCGGGCCACCAGGCACAGAGTGAGAGCTGATCATGGACAGAGATGCAAGCTTGTGTCACTAGGGAGTCCTGACAGGTGCTTACAGATGACCAAACAAGATATAATTTGCCATTTACAAGTATATCCCTTTTTTTTTTTTTTTTTTTTTTTTTTTTTTTTTTTTTACTGTATGAAATCGAGCCTACTTTTGCTGGAGCCGTGTCCTGCTGTCTCTAGCCCTGGCAGTTTCGTTTAGCAAAGACAGTGAAGCACTTCCCTGAACACAGCTCTGGGAGTGCTGCAGAGCTCTGGGCTTTTCTGAATCTCTCACTGCCACCTAGTGAGCTGTTTTCCATCAATCTCTGTGAGACGTTTGGGTCACCTTATCCTAGGGCCTTTCTCTACTGCATGGCCGCATGGATGGGGCACCATTCTTAGCGTATGCAGAAAAGGGGCTGAGAAGAACCCTTGCTCCCACTTGGGGTGCTTTTTGTGAACCGACTTAGTTGTTGCCACTGCCAGGTGAAGGTGGTTATTGTTTTGCTTTTGCAGGATGTCTCAGTGATGTGCTTTATCACGCGAACCCGAAAGCCAAAAATGGCTTTGCAAGCCATGACACGGGAGAAGAGGAAAGCAGGCTCATCAGAGGCTAAAGGAGAGCAGGAAGAGCCTAAACAGTATTTCCTGCTTGAGAAAACACTCACAGAATTGCACCCTCACAATCCTGAGTGCTTTGGCTCATTCCCACCTCCTCCAGGCTTTGGACAAGCAATGGGACACGGGGCAACACGGGGATCTTTGGGCTGCGAGGCCTCATCCTGCACAACCTCCCCCACAAATACAAAGGAAACCGTGTTCCAAGGGCATTGCATTTATTCTAGCTTCAGGTAGAAGAACAGGATAAGACTTACAACTCGTCTGTTGAGAACGGTGAGTGCTTTCTTTTTCCAGAGTTTCTTGCAGCACGTATCTGAGCTGCTTCCTGAGCACTCTCAGTTCAAGAAAGTTCATCACTGTGTCAGAAACAGCCATTGCCTTTCATTTCCATTGTACACTGCACAAAACCAGTCCAGAACTGTTTAATGTGGAAAATTTCTTCCAGCATTTAATTTGGAGGGTATCTGTGGGTGTGATGTAGTTTCAGGAAGAAGTTCTCTGCAAAGCAGATGCAGACCTAAGCGGTCCAGGCATCCTGGGCAGGTTTCTTGGCTTACTCTCTCTTTGGAATGGGATCAGGAAGGATACAGGGCTGTCACAGGCAGCATGCAGGATATCCTAGGTGAAGGAGACCACTTGCTGCCCCCATGCTACCCTAGGTCAGCAAATCTTCTTCAGGTGCATATGGATCCCATTAGCAGACTTGAGGACAAGCTGTGGTATCAGAATGGGAGGCCTGGATGCATCAGGAGTGAGTTCAAAGTGCTTCAGAGTCAGGGCAAGAGCCACCTTCATCTCGTTCATGGCAAACTGCTGCCCGATGCAGTTCCTGGGGAGAGGACATCCATGGCTCAGATTGAAACCTTCATCCCCAGCCATTCCCTAGCTCAGTAAAGCCCCTGCATTAGCCACCCTCAGCTTCTCAGAGCTTTGAGCTGCTGTGGCATCTCTGGCTGCTGCCACAAGGCAGGTACCTGCAGCACAGCTTATCTAGGAATCTCTTCATGCCACATCAAAAGCCCTGCTTCTCTGGGGTGGCATATTGGTGTTGCTTGGTAATAAGCACAAAAAAAAAAAAAAAAAAGAAAAGAAAAAAAAAGATATGCTTTTCAGAGGAGTATGCCTTCTTCAGCAGAAGGTGCTGGAGAGCTCCAGGCCCCAAACCATTCACTTCAAAAAGGTCATTTTTGGCTCTGTTGGCTCTGTGAAAGTTACTGACATCCTACCTACTGGATAGGATTTGATTAGCCTTAGAATCACTGCTCGGAGTTAACTCTCCTACATGAGGCAACCTGTGATGGGGGAGGCAGGGAATGAAGGAACTCTCACCTGGGTCCAGCAGAGAAAGGCAAGAAAGCATGTGAGTGCCTCTGTGCTGCGTTCTGCGGAGCAAACCTCATTGGGTCAAACATCTGTGGGAAGATCAAATGCTGTTAGATCGGCGGTGGCTCCAGCATGAGCAGCTCTGAGTTCTCCTGTGGTCCCAGAGCTGGACTGAGTGTGACCTCTACTGCTCATGGGGAACTGCAGCTGACACTGATCCCTTTGCAAAGCCACCAGATGAATGAGGACAGAGAACGGGTGGTTGCTGCTGGTGGGTTTATCCCAGGATAAATGAAAGGTCAGGGATGAGGCAGGTGGCTGTGGATCATCCCCATTAATCAGTTTGCTCTCTCTCACGCCCTCTGCACCACCATTATCCAGGGCTGCTGAAGGCAGTCCGAATACTCCTATATCATCAGGCATGAAGGCAATTAAAAAAAACCTTTTCCAGCACTTTGTCATGTTGGGATCCTTTGCAGTGTTTGATAGCTCTGTTGAACTTTGCATTTAAACATGGACTGTTGAAATAAGAGGGGAAAATAAACACACACACACACACACACACACATACAAAACCCCAAATTCAATGCAGAGAGGCCAAGATTGTCTTACTAAAGGAAGTAAATATGTGGACTAAGAGCTCATTTCTCCCTTCTTATTATAAAGGTAAAATACCTCAGGGTCTTCCCACACATCCCTGTTCCTGTGGACAGCAAATATGCTCACTGCTACATAGCTGCCTGGAAGAGAAAAGCAAGAAAAGAGTTCATGGCTATCAGAGTAAAGTAAAGACACAGGAGAGGTATTTGTGGGATGCTCACTGTCCCCGGGCTCCACAAGGGATTTCAGAGGAGAACTGACAGGGGCATTTCTCAGCTTGTTTAGGCAGGTCACCTCCTCACGTGGAAGAAACAGCGGCCTCAAAATGAGGACTCATTTTGGTACCAATGGGTACCAAAGGTACATAGGAGTATGTTTATTGTTTTCAGAAGAGCTTAAGGCAGCTCTGTCTGTCTCTCTCCATCACATTTGCTGTGACTATAGAAACAGTGGCACCAAGGCTTGGGGTACCCAATACACTGCTCAGGAGAGGGCCCTTGGACCTCTCTGGATGTACTTCTGGGCTCACTGTGAACCATGAGCTGTGGAAGCCCTGTACTGCTTGTGACAGATAGCGACAAGACGAATGGACAAAGCAAACAGACCTTCTGGTAAGCTGCGCCCATCGGAAAATGTTACAGGTTTGGAGAGGTACCGCGACACGATAGGAACTGGTGGGAACAGGCGCAGGCTCTCTTTGATGCACATGGTGCAGAATGTCATCTTCCCAAGGTCCTCCCTGAAAGCAAGCCAGAGGGAGGGCTGTGTTTGTGCGGCAGCAATGGGGACAGGTGCCCACATGCCCCCTGTATGGGCCAGTCCCCACTGGAGCCATGGGTGGTGGTGGCTGCTCCTTCTTGGAGAGCAACTGCACTGAGGGATTGGGATCAAAGCTACAAGACAGGTCACTGCGTGCAAACACAGGATAGGCAAAACAGAGCCTTGTTCCTAAGGCATGTGGCCCACTTTGGTCTTTCTCTTTGTCCTCCTCCTTTTGCTGTCCAGAATGGCTATGTGAAAAGCAGATTGCCATAGTGCACATACAGCATAAAGTGAATGCATTTTTCTTCTTGAAAGAAATAAAAAGAGTTCAAAGTGAAGGACTAAAACATTGTAGCTCACCACTCAACGGTGTCTCGGTCTCCCAATATCTCCTTGACTTCTTCCCTACACCGTTGCTGGTACTCCGGGTATAATGACATGCAGTAAAAGAGCCAGGAAATCCCACTGGCTGTGGTGTCATGGCCTTCAAACATGAATGTGTCCACCTCAGCACGGAGGTCCTCATCAGACAGCCCAACTCCATTCTCATCCTAACAGAGAGAAGAATATAACATCAACATGTGTACATGAGTTGGAACCTGCTTCTTTGTGTATAAAAATCACTGCAGATGGTGGTGAAAAAAATGATTTGACAACTCCACATAAATAAGAAACTAATTTAGTAGAAGATATATCCAACATAAGTGAAATTATTCAGGCTCATGGACCATTGACTCTGCAGTCAGTAAGGCTACGGAGTTTAGCTTTGGTGGCTGATCAGACCACAGCCCTTCAGAGGGACACCCAGTTTGTTCCCTACCAAGGGTTCCTGTTGTGTTTCCCAGTATTGTGGCTTAGAAGACTTGTTTTAGATTGAGACAAGAAAGAAGGCAGTAGCTCTGGGAAAGCTTGAGTGATATTTTTTTCTCTCTCCTGAATGCCAAATGGCTACTGCCTCCAAAGTATGTGAAGATGTCTGGGAAGGCATAGAGTCATGATGGCCTCTTGGTATTCTTTCCAAAAATTCTCCTCTGTTTTCCAGCAGCTCAGGTCTTTCAATCTATTTATGTACTCGACAAAAATGAGTAACAAAGTTCCACTTATGCTCAGGCTCTCTCGCATGTTTGTATTTCCTTCCTTTCAACTCACCTTTTCCCAGCCTAGGAAACATGAAGTGTGGAAGTTTCTGTCATTTATGCTGGGAAAGGATTGTGAGCTCCCTGCTGTCACATCCTCAGCAGAACACAGGTATGTCCCTTGGCATTTGATATTATTTTTTTTCAAACATTCACCTTAGCACAAAGTAGAATGTCCAGAAAATCCAGGTGTCTCCTTTTCTGGATCTTCTCCCGTTCCTTCTCATTGGAGAGCAACATCTTTCTTTCTTTTATTATTTTATCTGCGTAGAAGAATGACCAGTCTATTAGATACACCCTTCCCCTGCAGAGGGGTCATGCTCTTGATCCCTCGATCAGCAGCTCAATCGCTGTTTAATGTGTAACCCTCTGGTCACTGCCTGCTGCAACCCCCCTCAGAGCTGCTCCAGATGTGAGTGGGTGAGAGGTTCAGCTAATAAACAGGACCAGGGAGAGAAAAGAAGAGAAAAAGAGAGAAGCACCTGTGTGGATATGGGCCAGCTTGCAGGCCTCCTGAAACTGTCGGCTGTTGCTGGTCATGCCATAGAAGAAATCACTTACACCGAAGCTCCGGATTCTCTCAACCACAAGGTAGCTCAGATCATAAACAGCTTTGATGTAAAAGTCTGAGTTGCTGAAAGGAAATCAAGACTAAAATCAGCATCAGCAATGTAAGGTGGGGAACAGGAGCACTTGTTTTCTTAGAATTTAGGAGTTTAGCTACTGACTTCTGAGTCTGACAGCTGGTATTGTAACTGAAGGCACATTTCATGATAGTGTCCAGTGTCATTAGGCTGACATCATGAAAGAGCTCTACTGGCTTCCTCTCCTTGTTCTTTTCCCATTTATCCTGGAATTGGAGACAAAAGGAAGGAGGAAGCGGCAGTCAGAATGGACTTGATATGATCAGATCTGTATCTGCCTCTTTCCAGATCCGCTCTGCTAATTAAGCAAAGGTTTTAGTTCACTACATATTCTGTGAATTTAATCAAAGATGATTTTTTCCATGTTTACCACTGTGGAGATAGGAAAAGCTACTCTAGCAGTGATTGATTTTTCTGAAAAGAAGAGGAAGAGCAGAATTAGTTGAATGGCCAAAGGAAGTCAGAAGAAACAATGTCAGAACTTTGAAAGGATCAATAAAGTTCAGATTCAGGATATAAATTTTAGGAACCAACTAATAATTCCACTCTCCTGCCACCACCCTGGCCCAGGTCTAATTATTTTGACTGGTGCATGACTCAAAAGTAGCAGGGCTGATTCTTACCAACATCACTTTGACTGAGTCTGACATCAGCCTCATGTACGGTTTCAGCACATCATAATGAAATGCTGGTGTGAGCAGCTTCCGATGTTGAAACCATTTTGCTCCACTCGTGACCAATAGTCCCTCTCCTTGAGATGCAAACAGCAAAGACACAATCAGCTATTTCACAGTCTGACCAGTCACCTCAGCTTTGACGCTATCGCTGGTGCTTTTGGCCAAGTGGCTACCTCCTAGCCAACAGACAGGATGTGGGGAGCTGAGGATTGGTGGTGGAGTGTCACATTGTGGATCCAAGTCTGTTTATTCCAAGTTTCGTTCCACAATGTGGCTTTCTCAAGCACAAGGGGAATGAAACAGGCAGAATTGGTTCTCATCACTGGCTCTGTCCTCCTGTAGAAAACACCTGCCCCACATGCATAAGGACAGAAGCACAAAACTTACTCTCGCAGATGGCTTTTTCTGCCCTAAGTGAAATACTTGGCTGCATTTTGCAGCACAAGCTGAGCTATGAGGCAGTTAGCTTCCCAGAAGGCTACCATGAAGTAGTATGCAAGCCATGAATCTGACTGTCCTCTGATGCCTCAATATCTTTCACCCCTGTCATGTGTTTCTGCATTCAGTCCCTGAACAGTCTTGTCCCTTTGCTTTGCAAAGGCCAAGGTAAATCCAAGGCAAATCTAGTTGATGTATCCCACAATTATGTGGACAGTGGTATTAATGATTTCACCTAAATGAACCTTCTCATAGCAAAAACAACCTTCTTCTGTGATTTTGGGATGGAGGGAAACAAAATAAATGAAGAGGGAAGAAGATGAAATGTGTCGCGCAGCCAAAAGGGGTAATGAAAGAAAATTATTTACCTATCCAGGGAATTAAGAACTTGTAGGTTACCAGGGCCTTGGGGTCTGTTAAAAACAAACAAAACAAAACAAAATGTATATATAATGAAACAGTATAAATGACTAATGAATTTCAACATAACAAAAATAAAAACAAGAAAAAACCCACAATAAACTGACATTAGAAACCATCATCAGAGGTAAAGTTTAAACATGGTCTTCTACAACTGTACTCTCACTGTAATCTCAGTGGTCTTGAGAAAGTCAGAGAAAGCTGAAACAAGAGATATTCATGTAGAAAAGGAAGAACGGATCTCAAAGTTGAGGACAGTGGATGAGAGTTATTGGAGAAACCCATGTACCTCATGAACTCTGGAGCGGAGAAGGAAGAGCACCGAGGAAGAAGAGATGTCTTCTTAGGGACATTTACTGCGCTAGCTCACACAGCTTACTGAATTTTAGTGAGAAACATAGGTATTGAGGTGGTAGATACTCTATAACACAGTAAACCCAGCAATAATAGACACAGTGGGCTAAGAGGGTCACTCACTGGCCCCTCTCTTGTGTGAGAATGTCAGCTGCTCCATGGCACCTCTCTGGGAGTTTGAGAAGGAGGGTAAAGGAGGAACTGCTGTATGTGTGAAAGAAGCAGGCAAAAGGGACAGCTCAAGGCAAGCTTTGTCTTGATAGGAAAGTCTCAATGAGAGGACTTTCCAAAACCAGATAAGAAGACTTACCTCCTCGGCCACATATAGTTTTGGCATATTCAGGGTGATGGATAATTAATGTAGGTAATGGTCCAAGCCACCTTGGAAAGGCATAGGGAAACTCTTCTGCCCACTCCATAAATTGAGCTAAAAGTTTACGTTGAGAAAGCTGCAATGACAGTTAAGCAAGGACTGTGTCAGGCAGAGAAAAAAGAGAGATGTAGCTGAGAGAGCAGAACTTGCCCTCTTGTGGACAGCATACGCAAGACATCCTTGCTGGGAAAACTGGGAGCCAGTGGGTGGACTTAGAGCAAGGGGCTTTCCACTCTGCAGGTGGAGGAGATGCTAGGCAAGGTGAAGGCTGTGCCCTGGTGACAGTGCACAGCCAGTGAGGCCACCTCAGTTACTGCATACCTCAAGTACAAGGACAGGCAAGTCCCCTTGCTGGGAGACAGCAGTTCAGCTGCGTTTCCATTGTGTGTAATCAGAGCATATCGGCATCACATTCTGGGTCTGTAGTCAGCATGGACAGTATAGGAATACTTTACGCCCAATCCACAGGAGATCAGGACTGATACAGTCCTATCATCTAATTTCAGCAGTGCTAGGAGGGCATGCAGTGTGAAGCCAAGGACATTTACTCTACAGAATGGTGAGAATGGCTGCAAGTAAATGACCAGCTTTCAGGATCTTCTTCTCCTAAGTGGGTATAGAAGGAGACACTTTTATTGTTAAAAGGTCTGATGCAGAAGAGAGATATTTAACCAAAATGATACATATCTCATAACCAGGGTACTTCCTGCCTCCCCCACAGAAGCATTGGCACTCCCTGTACAAAGAGATCCTCTCCTGTAAGAGGGGACACACACTCCTCATTCAGTGCTCTTCTCCATCCCTCATTCAATGCTCCTCCCCATCACTCTTGTCCTGAGACTCATCTTGCACAGGTGTCAGGACAAACCCTCCCTGCCTGTGCCCTGTGTGAGCCCACCTCTTTACTTACCTGATGACTGTGGCCATACAGCCAGTGCTTTGGGGGTCCAGGGAAAGCCTCCAGAGCTTTGAGAACCTTCTTCCTTTTCTGGTAGAACTGGGCTGCCTTGAGTAGCACAAAGATGAAGCCCAGCACCAAAGATAGCTGCAAAAGCACAGCCGGTTTGGCTATGTTGTCCAGCAGAGCTGCCATGCTGCAACTGGGTCCTGGTTACTCAACACCGCCTTCTCCTCCCTCCTTCCTCTTCTGCTTCTTCTGGGCCTGAGTCTGATGAAGAGCTCAGGTGCAGATGAAAAGATCTCTCTCTTCCTCTGCTAGAGCTGTTCCTGCCAACTGCTACCACCAGTGTTAGCTGACAGGGATTTAAAGCATGAGGAGCACTCATAAACAATATGTCACTTTGACCCAGAGGCTAAGTCCGTGCTTGCTCCCCGGTCGTCCTTTTACCCACTTTCATTAACATGTGGATAGAGGCAGCTTGTTAAGAAACAACCTGGTGTTTTGTACACAGGACGATCTGCAAATATTGACAAATTCTTCTACAATCAGCAAATAAAAGTGCTGGTAATTAGCATAGGGCTCCAGCTCTGCTATTTGCATCCATGCACAGGTGGATGAGGCCATCAGAGAGGCTGAGAGCTAGTCATGTGCTCCGTCTTGCCTTTTGCCCTACTCAGGCAAGGCCATGTGAAGTGAGGAACAAATGGGTCATCTCTACACAACACGCAGTGCTGGACAGATCCAGGCATCTTTAGCTGTCAAAAATGTGCTATTCAAAGTCTTAGCAGCTTTAACATTGTACAACACAGCTGGCTTACAGTCAAGTGAATGTATATAACCTAATCAACATAAAAGGGAATTTGTCCTTCTTCTCCAAAGGGTCTTCTTACCATATATAAGCCAGGAGGAAAAAATATGCTGCCCAGAAGAATTAAGTCTGTCAATAGACAGCAAATGGGAGCATAGCATAGTAGGAAAGTGAACTGTAACAAAATTGAGGATACAACTATCTCTTAAATGAAGGAATTGTGGTAGAATCATTTTCACCAACACAGTCTGGATGAGTTTTCCTTCTGTCCCTGTGGTACCTCATGGTCCTTGGAAAAGGGCCCCACGTTGTGAGTCCATTAGAGAGCAATTGGGGCAACCTGGAATGGCTTGGAAGGAACTAGTGTTGGAGGACTTCACTGGAAGCCTGCTACATTTGGGTAATTTCCAGGCATATGGTAAAGAGGGAAATCCTCAGATGCACAAGAATCGTTTCCCATTTGGATGTTATAAGGATCAACGGCTCCCTCCTCTTTCACCAGCTACCAAACCTGGTAGTTTGATGTGTAAGTACATAAGGGCTGATGAATTTTGTGGATGTTTTTCTAGCTTGTACATCTCTAAGAAAAGTTTATTCGAAAGTTTGGACACTTTCCTATAGTTTGTAGTCTAAATTAGTCTACAAACAATTGAAATTCTTACATTTTTTATTAGTAAATCCTTTTATAGAAAAAACACATCGTCTAGTATTTGCTGTCTAGGTGTATTACTCTTGTAGCAACAGAGACATAAAGATCTTTTGCTGAAGTGAAATGGCACAACTCTGCGAAGACATTTAGATTTTTGAGAAAAAAAGGTGTATGAAAAATCTTATAGGACTCCTTATCTGCAAGTTACCTGATTCTGGAATTTTCTTATCTGAAAGTGAATTGGAATTCACTCCATTGGCTTTAGGGCCATTCATTAATTTCATGATTGTAAAGATAGAGCAATAGGCGCAGTTGATAAGATTTATATTCAAGTCTAAAAGAGATTTGAAGTGGTTCAGCTCATAAGAACTCCTGTGACTCATTGGGCACTTATCTGTTGTGTTGCTCCTTGAAACCAAACAAAACTCAATACGTGCCTGTCCAGATACAGTGTGGTAAGGTCCCCACCTAAGAACGCTTAAATCCCCTTTTGTAAGAGAAAAATCAACAGACCATAGAAATATTTAGGTGAGGCATGTGACACTCCTCAGGATTAAAGCAACTCTCAGCTGAAATCTTCATACACAACTTCTTCATACTCTCAACTTTTTTGGGGATCTCGCTGTATAAACTCCCATATCTGAGGGTATCTGAGGCACTTGGATCTGTGTAGACTCTATTGAAATATGCAATTTAATTCTGCACTGGCACCATGTTTTTCTCTTCATTGGTGGGTAAACCAGAGCCCAGAGCAGAAAGAGTGGAGTGCTTTATTCACAAGTGCTTAAGAAAAAAAGTGTTGCTGGGACCCCTCAGTCTGACACCTTTTCTAAGAGGCAGTGCAGTCTTTGTGTGACTCTTGGCATTTTTCTAGTTGTGTCACAAGGAAGATTAATTGCCTCCCTCGCAAGGACCCACAGACAACTACCAGATGCTGTGTCCTACAAAGACTGAACAGAGATCATCTTGGTAGAATTGCCCGTATAGTTGTGTAAGCTTCATGGAAAGACTCCCTAAGCTCAGGTGGCTTCATCTTCCAATGTCTGACTGAGCAGCTCTTGATAAGCTCTCTGTTTCTGTCCTGTCTTGGAAGCTTAGGTATGAGTTTCCTGGTTGAACATCACTCCTTCTAATGATCTTAACTAGTCTGACATGGTGTCCTGAAAGATAAATTGTGATCTATTCCTGAAGTGGTAATGAAAAATGTTGCAAATGTTTGGGCATGACATATTGGAGGTGGCAGTTTCTAGTAGTGACTTCTAGCATCAGCAGTGATGGAGCATCTGGGGTTCAGGTTCTTTAGTTTCTGAGGCTGGTGGCTGGATATTTCAATGCCAAATGGGATGAAAATGCTGACATTCAGATACCTGCTACAGTGGGCATAAAGGCCATTGGGCATGTCATGATAGCTAAAAGTCTGCTCTTATCATGCTTTTCTGGAGGCCTGATAAAGTTTCAGCTGGAAATTGGGTCTGTTCATTGCTATTGCATGTTGCTAGTAGAAGGCTTCTGCAGAAACACACATTTACACTAAAAGAGATCCCTTTTTATCGTCTATTCTCAGTCTGTTCCAGAGCTGCAAATATCTTGCAGGCAAAAAATCTTTTGCCATTCTTCCAAAATTGTCCACAAGATTAAGTTTCTTTGGTGTTTCCCTGGAAATAGTTATTGCAAAGAGTATCAGGTGGAGTAAGGTGAATGTACAGCCTTTAAATGTGAAGAATCTTTGAAAATTCCTGCTCACCTGCAGGTGTGGACGTACTACCAGTTGTGTCCTTGCTAAGCTGTGGCTTTTCACCCACCAGCCATTCTGTTTGTAAATAAAGTGGCAGCCATTCTGGAGATAAGTGTGTTATGTTTGTGTAGAAGTTCAAGGATGATGAGAATTGCTTGGAAAGTGCCAGCTGGCAGCAAGCAAAAAGAAACTCAGATAGGGAGAGGCCAGATTTTCTGTAGGTCTGTTCTAAATGGACATGACTGACAGTGGAGGTTTGGAGTGAGCTGCTGTGGGCTAGGAAATCTTGAGATGATCAATTACCTGCATATGCTATGTGAGAAAATTAAATATATTTCAGGATAGATGCTATGGACAAACCCTCCAGCATTTGACACCTTGTCCTGAGGCCGAGGATCAGCCCTGTCCTCTTGCTCTGAATCAAGTCTGGACATATGATAAGGGACTTGGCTTGTGTCGGGAGGGATGATGTGGACCTCCAGTGTCCCAGCCTAGTCCTCCTACTACAATAAATGTTGGCTAATCACTGCAAGTGACGCTTGAATGCCAGCACAACTGTCTGCATGGGTCTGTGGTTTTGGTAGCATGGTAAGAAGTTGTAATCCAAAGAGAAGTTGTAATCCATGATAACAGCTGAAACTCTCTAAACACCTCCTGACATGGGGGTTGTAGTTGCTTATGCGCTGTCTTAACACATTTCTTCAGCTCCCCTATTTGACTGTCCCCTGAGCTGATCCATATAGCTTAATTTAAGATAGAGCCTCTGGTTATTTAGTGTGGGAGGAAGAGGAAGGAGAATTAATACCGTGTGCCTGCCAACTGTCGTTTCCACAGTATCATTTGGCTTTCCCATCACAACTCTGTTGACGTATGGTATTGTTTGACCTGCAGGCAGCTGAGTTGTTAGAGGCACACCAGTCACCAACTTTAAACTTTGAAGAGCTTGCCAAGGTGCCCAGTAGAGCAAAGGCAGAACTGGAGCTGCCGCCCTCAAGAACCCCCCTGGCAGGCACGGAGCAGTGTCAAGCTTTTTCACCTGTTTGGCAGGGCTCAGGACACAAAGTGCACATTGTTATGACAAGCCTGCTGGACCTAAACTAAAGTTCAGGCTGGATTTAAAAGCTGTCCTTCCGGAGGCAGAAGATTGCAGTCTGTCAGCTTAGTCATTTTTGGGGGAAGGATTTAACTGCCATCAGAACAAGAGTCATCCTGTCTCTGTTGTGGTAAGCTGGCATTCCGGAGCAGGAGTGTCCACCTCCAGAGACCACATGGTCCTATGAGACACACCTCCTTCCCTCTCTTGCACATTACTTCCAGCTTCTCCTATGCAGCACTGGCTTCCCATGAGGAGAGGATGCAGGACAGGCTCTGCTTGGCTGGCCACTTGGCCACCTGACCACTTAGCAAACTGGCTGGGAGATGTGTGGGTTGTGTTCGATTAGCTGCCGATGCTTCATGATTGACCTTAAGGATGTGGAAAAGGAGAAACTAGCACCACAAGGGAGGTCTTTTGGGCTTCCTGTGACAAGTTAATGCCTCTGCTGGCTTCTTTCATGATGAAGGACTTGACTAAATGGATGAGGAAAGCAAAGAGTGTGAGGAGGGCAATGTTACTGCAGTGTCCTGGGGGCTTTTGCAAAGAGAACAGAGCACACAGGCTTGGTGTCCAGCATCTCCTCAGTCAGCACTGATGGATATGCTTTGGGTTGTCCCATGGTGCCAGTATATAACCAATGACACCTTTGGGTTGTCCCATGGTGCCAATATATAACCAATGACACCTTTCATCAATTAGCTGCAAAATGACTTGGAATTCCCCCTGAAATGAATGGAGAGGCCAGGCCAGTGGAGCTGCAGGAACTACATCAGACTAAGCCTTTTTAATGAGACAAAAATTCTTATTTCTGACAAAGTCCCCCCATGATGAGTTTGACCATATGCTATTGAACATGGTAGATTGTTGCCCATCTGGTTCCCTGCTTGTTATTTAATAACTACAATACTACAATTACTACAATAACTACAGAGCACGGAGTGAAGGATATATGAGCTGTACTGAAGATCAAGGGAGATGTAGATCTGTGCTGAGAGAGCCTGGACAACACTTCAGATGTTTTTTCTCAGCTCTG